GGATATATGTATTTTTTGTCCATTTGAACTTAATCCTATATATATATTACCAAATCTTACTTACCACAGGGTTAATTAAATTCATGCATTAAGCTAGGGAGTTTTTTTATGCCTACACATACATAGTTTGGAGCTTACTTTGAAGTTCAGGATGGGTAGGTCGCCCAATGAATGATGACTCCTCTGATCATTACGACCAAACATTGCCATGTGTCTTTTTCTGACATCATCATACTTAGGTTTAAACTTTAAAGGATACCTCTCGATACTTACTATACATAGTCTTTATTTACTTATCTTTATAATCTCGGTGCAAACTCACAAAAATGGATTCTTCTGCGGATGCTCTCTACCTTTCGTCTCTAAAATTAGCGGCTGATAAGTACCGATCGATCTTAAACGACGAAAGAACCGGAGATATACGGTGGAGATACGGTGGTCCTCCGATATTTGACACTGTGAACAAGCTCTTCGAAGAAGAAAGAACCCATGTAATTAAAACCAACTCTCTCTACACGTCTATCTAATATTGCTTTATAACAATTCTGGCCTTTTCATAAAATTATAGCATCATAAAACTATAAAAGTATCGAATAATTCACTAGTTTTTTGCAATAAGTTAAAAGAAAAAAATCAAGAATCGTTCCGACGTGACAGAGAACAAACATATTTTTAAACAAGTTATTTCTTATTCAAACATGCCATTATTTCTTATTCAAACAAGTTACAAGACTTTCTCTGTAATTTTCCTTGGATATGCTTTTTTATTTCTTATTCAAACATGTCATTATTTCTATGGATAGAAATAGAAGCTTATTTGGACAGACAAAGAAGTAACTGTGGTTTATTGGTTGCAACTTAGTCATGATAATATCTAGAAATGTGATTGTGACTCTTAACAACTTCAAAATGTCAAATTAGTGAGGTTAGGGAAACGAGATTCACGAGTGATCCACTAAATACTCTTATATTAATATCAACATGTATTGCGAGATTATAAAAGAGACAAACAAGCCTAACTCTCTGTATATCAAAAGCTAATATGGCTACTACGGAAGAGAGAGATAAGTATAGATTGATCCTTCAAGATTCAGAACAGGTCCAGTGGAGGTATGGTCACCCTCCAGACTTTAATAGTGTGAATCAGCTCTTTGAAGAAGGCCAGACCAAGGTCCTTCGGTTAACTACTAATGTTTCACTTAATGTGTGTGCTATGTGTATTATTTGTGACTCTGATTTATTGATTTTGTTTGGTTTTGATCGCAGGTATGGCCAGAAGGGTCGTTGGAAGAGACAGTTCAAAACGCGATCAAGTCCTGGGAGATGGAGTTCTCACACAAGATCCATTTACAAGACTTCAAGACGATAAACCCTGACAAGTTTAAGCTTTTTGTCAATGGTAATTACCACGAACACCTAATGAATATGATCTTAAAACTGTATAATTACCAAACAAAGATTTAAGTGGTTTTTTAATTATCAGGGAGAGAAGGATTATCGGCTGAAGAAACGCTTAAGCTTGGGAGTTACAATGCTTTGCTCAAGAACTCTTTGCCTGAAGAGTTTCAGTATTATAAGCCAGAGGAAGAGAGCTTCGAGTCATCACATGATGCCTTTAGATCAGCTTTACCACGCGGTTTTGCGTGGGAAATACTGTCTGTGTACTCGGGGCCACCTGTTATAGCCTTCAAGTTTAGACACTGGGGATACTTTGAAGGAAATTTCAAAGGTCATGCTCCCACTGGGGAAATGGTTCAATTCCTCGGTCTGGGAGTTCTAAAGGTATGTCTGAAACATGAATTTGTGTCCCTCCTTATAATTTTTCAATGGTTAAAACCTCTAGCATCAAGATTTGCTTACTTTCTCTACAGGTTGATGAATCGCTTCGAGTAGAGGAGATTGAGATTTACTATGATCCAGGAGAGCTTTTCGGGGAACTGCTCAAGGGACCTCCTATATCAGAGACCAAAACCACAGAAAGTGGAGACAACACCGCAGAGAAACAAAGCTGCCCCTTCATACATTAAGCAAATTTCAGGATCTACAAATGTTTACTGGTCCGTAAAAAGTTGGGTTATACCGGAAAATAAGGAAAGCAGAAGTGTGTGTAGACCCTTTAAAGAATACATTGTAACAGTCGCTTAGTTTTTGATGCATGGAATAAGTTAAAAGTTATGCTTGCAGGCGTCACAATGATAGTAGTACAGATAAATTACAGCAAGAACTAGAATAAAGGCAGCTAAATTAAACTGACCAGTTTCTCAGCAGAACTCAACCTTTGAATCAACCCCATTCTGACATTCATCCATGAGAGCCACGTTCAACATTTCGGTACAGAATTGATCATCAGGTTTCAACCATAGGGCCTGAGGATAGAGAAAAGATACAGAGAGGATGATTGAGAAACAATTAAGTGTTTAGCTCCATATGCTAATTATAAGGACATCATTACAAGTTTGCTCATATATAGTAGTGTGTATTATACCTTGTGATAATATGAGATGGCTGCTGAGAAATTCCCCTGGAAAAAAATGAGATGGAAGTGGAAAAATTACAGCTATAAAATAGGCTACTCTTTGATTTTGTGATAATCAGCGTTAGAATTGTTTAGAAGAAAATGAGCAGTGTTTAAAGACTATTCAATACCTGCAGATGGTAAGTGTAAGCCAAGCCAGAGTAAGTGCTTAAGCTTTTAGTTGATAGTGTAAGAGCTCTTTCATAATATGAAATAGCTTCACGGTCCTTCCTGTTAATAAGAATTTTCGCGAGTCAATAACTTCATTGCATTCATAACACAAGATAGCCTACATAAGAGGAAGATCATGGTACTTGTGTTTACGCCAATATACCTTAGCTTTCTATATGCATGAGCGAGATTGACCACAGTTGGTTCCCAGATTTCAGTTAATGCAGATGGTATATGGGCCAACGTCTTTTCAAACCACCGCACAGCTTTACCATACCTAAGGAAAAAAATGTTGTTGACTCAATTTACTGGATACTTACCATCTCCCAGTTTTGTAGCTTCTCGTTAATAGCATTTGGAAATTTAGGAGATAAGCAGACTGTAAAGAGAAAAGGAACGCACTCTTTCATATGATATGCAACAACTCCGAGTTCATTATACACAAGTGGATCCGAAGGGCATATCGCCTTTGCTTGCATGAAAAACTGGACCAAGAGAACGGATCAAAGTAAATACAATATACACACAAAAGATCAGTTATATAATTTGAAGATTCCATGCAGCATATTATAACTTGTTACCTGGTCCGCAAGCTTGTAGCTGTGAGTTCGCATATACTCCATTCCAATGTACAGAGTTGGCAAATGACACCTGGAACAAGATAATATCAAGATTCAACCTGTAAAAGACAATTTGTAGCGTAATAAGAAGACTTCCACAATGCTTCATGGCTTAGAATGATTCATTTGGACACAAGTTACAAACTTACAGTCACTAATTCTGAAGAAAATAAGAGTAACTTGATTACCCTGGAAATAGCCTAGCGGCAGTACGATAGGCAGACATGGCTTGGTCACCCTCCTCTTGGGCGGCAAAGGAATTACCAAAGCCTATCCAAGCTGCTGAGAATGAGCCATCTATACTCGTTGCTTTGCTGCAAGACCATATTCAAAGAAATGGAGCTTCAGGTCAGACACTTACCACTGCAACTACATACTAGAGTTGATCAATCCTGAATAATGCCATAGCATAATTACCTAAAGTACCGCCGAGCTTCACCATACTTTTTGATACAATAGTAGTAACAACCCACCGCAAACCATGACAAAGCCCTACAAGGTCATGAATGAGTATATACCCGCAAAGCATCAACAAAAGGAATTCTGTCTCACATGCTAACTCATAATTTAGTTCAGACACCAATATGTGAAAGCATTTATAACCAGACCAAGAACAGAAACAAAATTCAGACAAACAATCAGCAGAAATCATGCTCTCGAAGTTGATTTATGGACTTGACAAGCTGAACCATAAAATAGGTTATATATCGAAGCTAGGATTTGGATAAAAACAGAAGAACTATATCCCGATTGACATGCTAACCCAATGGCCATATAGCTTGAGAAATAAATTTTATACTCACTTGGAAGGGTAGTCTTTCACCAAATTGCATGCCATTAGATAGAGCTCATTTGAATTACCAAGTTCCATGGCAGCGGCCAAATGTACCAAGGTACACTTCAGATGAAAAGGATCTTTCTCAAGGAGTCTGCCAAATTAGATCAAAAGAGTCCACATCACTAGAATCATTCATGTTTCATATTGCTTAAATTAAAAAATCAGCAGTAAAATAAAACTTACGCAGAGGTTAGTTCGAAACACTTCTGATATTCGCAGCATTGATGGTAGTACTCAGCTTTACAGGCCAACAGATCAGTGTTATTAACCAATGTACTGATCATAGATGAGCCAGAGACACTACCACTAGTTTCGTTCTCAAGCTTTTTGAACTTAGCTTCTACTGTGCTCTCTTTGTCATACTGGACATGAAGAACTAATAAGTACCAAGAAGAAACAGAAAAGATGCTTGCAAAAAGAACTCAGCAGAATAGAGAATCAGCAAGCAAAATTCACATATCAGTGCCACATAACTATTGAAACATATCCGATCAAACTTATTACGGCATAGAAACCTTTACCTTCTTTATCAAACATGAATAGAAAGAAGAGAGCCATCCGTCTTCTGGACTAAATTGCAGTGAAGAAAGCAGATTTGATTCTGAATTTAATGTCAATTAACGTCTCAATTACCATCTAGTCATGTACACGACAATAAGACAATAAAATAAAGAACAAAAAAGCGTCAAATATCACTTACCTTCTTCAGATGTAAGCATATGACTTTCAATAAGGCATTCCAAAGTCTGAAATGATAGATTACAAAAACCACATCTATGTAACAGTTTTCTGATTTCTAGAGGAGATACTAGGTTTTTACTACTATATACAGTAATGAGGAGATATCATCTTCCCATATTAGCTCGGCAACTTCCCATGGTAATTGGAAATAACAAGCAGCAATTGACTAAGGCGTTAGAAATACCTCATAGCACAGAGGATCGGCCTTGATAGCAGCTTTATACCTTCAATCCCAACCGAAATTCATGAGTTAAATAGCTTCAAGATTCTCACAAACCACAATCATACACACAAGTTCCCAATATTTCCTACTCGCATTTTAGTGAATCTTATATACATGCTGAATTCAAGTCACACCACTAAATCAATAAGATCACTTTCTCACAGTCATCAAGATGCAGATGACAGATGATTCATTGAACAAGAAAAATAGGTGAAATAAGCACAACTGACCATTGTCGAGCCTGAGAACGGTTTTGTAAGGCTCCGTATGCTTTTCCTCTTAGAAAGCATATTGCTGATGATATCTGCAAAAGACATCCCCTGCATATATTAGTTCAGGTACTTGCATAAACCTTCAACCTCAAATGGTATGCAATTTCAGTTCAAACAAATTCGTGAACTAACTTTCTAGATTCGTATAGATACTTCCTAGATCTAAACTGAAGTATTATACATTCGAAAAGGGTTAAGAAACTTACATTTATCTCTCGGTCCTCTCCATCTTTATCGAAGTAAATTACGTTACCATCTTTAGCGTCATACACATTACCATCTTCATCAACCTTAGCATCACCAAGCATCAAAAGACACTGATCCCATTCCTTCAATTCCTCCTGAGAAAAAAACACATAAATGACCCATAAACCCTAAAACCCTTTTATCACCAAAAACCCAATTTCAAGCGAAATCATCTATAAATTCAAAAACTCATCTCCTCCAAAACAATATAAAATTGGGAAAATCAGAAATTACGAGGCACTTCGCGGCGAGGTAACGAAATCGAAGATCTCGGAGGACAATCTTCGAGGCGTTTAGAAGGTGAAAGGCGCGACGGAAATGACGGCCGAGGAATAGAGCTTGAGCTTGCATATATATGTCAGATGGGTCATTGGTTAGAGCCGCTACTTTGTCGGCGAAGAAGATTGCCGACGAGTACAAATGCTTACTGACGCAGTCTCGAACCACGCCTCGGATCTTCTCAATTTCTTCTTCCCTCATAATTTCTCCGCCTCTCAAATCTTCCGTACGAATCCCGGAACTGGTAGATCTGAAGCAAAGATCGTAAGAAAATCAAAACGGAGAAGAGTATCGGGAAATTTTGTTCTTCCACTTTCTCTAAGTCAAAAGTGTTTGCGCACAGGAGGCGGGACGAAGACAGAGCTTCGGCGGGAGAGCGTAAAATGTTTATTGGCTTCAATAAGGTTTGGGCTTTAGGCCCATTCATTATTATGCTTGAGCTTGACCCAGTAAATGTTGAAACCTTGAATAATTTGAATGTTTGGTTCGGTTCACTTCATCCGTATCGATTGGTTCATCGGTTTTTCATATAATTTTTCTAACTAATATCAGACTTTATACCAAATTTCACTAATATGTTGGAAATTTTGAACCGAATTTAAACAAAAGAAATTCCAAAATCTTGGTTGAATTTTGGTAAAGTATCTAAAATTTCGGTGGAACCGACTAATCAAACCGAACTCGCGGGACGCCGGCAAATTAGCTAGTGGAGTGGAACGGTTAAGAAAAAACCGGCGTCACGAAGCTCTGTACTGTACTCTTGCCTGATCCAAAGTTTGTATCTTTACCGTTTGTCAAAGTTATCGATCTGAGTATAGTTAAGTTTGCCAATGTTTTGGTTTTGGAGAAGCTGATTTCAAGCTGCCCGGTTCTCGAAAACTTAAGTGTAAGCAGGAGTTCTATTGATGATGTAGATGTTTTACGTGTTTGTTCTCGGTCTTTACTGCGATTTGAACACATCGGGGATTGTTCTGAAGGTTGGGATAAACTAGAAGTTGCAATTGATGCTCCTAGGCTTGAGTATTTGAGTCTCGTTGATCACGCAAGATTCAGAATAGAGAATTCGGGTTCCCTTGTGGAGGCGGATATCAATATTATCTTTAACATTGAGAAGCTACTGGGTCCAGATGAACTACCAAAAAGGAATATGATTCGAGATTTTCTCGTTGGGATCTCTAAAGTCAAAAAAATGTTCATCTCTTCGTATACTCTTGAGGTAACCTTCGTTGAATTCGCTATTATATTGCTTACGTATCTTTTTTCTTATAAGAAACATAATCACTTACCTTTTCTTTGCAGGTCATCTATGATTACGAACTACCCCTGTTTCATAACCTATCTTCCTTGCACGCCGATTTCGAGGATCATAATTTGGAAATGTTGTCAACTTTTCTTGAGAGCTGCCCGAATCTAAAATCACTTGTTGTGGTTGGTATTGTTTCACTTAAACGATGTACTTTCCTTTGTTATAGTACAAATGGTGAAAGTATCTCATACATTTGATTGTACTTGCAGGAATTTAAGGATTCTCCAGAGAAGGAGGGATTTAGGGCTTTATCCGTACCTCGGTGTTTCTTAACATCTCTAGAGTATGTAAAGATAGAACGGCCAATCACAGGCGAGACGAGAGGGATGAAACTAGTTAGTTTTTTGGAGAATTCAGCAATCCTCAAGAAACTGACTCTATGCTTGGATAATTCAAGAAAGAAAGAAGAATCTGTCATCTTCAAGGAACTCCTTACCATTTCAAGACTCTCTACTTCATGCCAAGTTATCGTTAACTGATCTTCATAGCTTTAGCTATTAACAGACAAATCTAGTCTTTTGAGTACTTAGTTAATGCGAAGTCTATGTCTTTTCTTCGATTATGATGATTTTTATAGCTTTTTTACCCAAAGAAAGAGAGGATATTATTTGGACAAGTGCAAAATATAGGAGGACGTCATATTATTACTAGGTGGTAAATAAGATTTAGTGAAAAACTCATAAAAGAGGAACAAATAGTCAGAACAAGTGATCAAACATCACCGTTTCGATTTAAATTACTCAACATTTTTGCTAGTTGAATGGTTACGTCTGTGGTTACATCTGTGGCGAAACGTTTACGGAGATAATGAGGTAGAGAAACTCCGTCCTCATGCTCGTCCGTCAAGCCCTCTCTGCCGGTTGTAATGCGGTGGTGAATCTAGAAACAAGTTTACCGCCAGAAAAAGCATCACCTTTTACCGCCACATTGGTGGATGTTAATATTTATTGTATTTAATTAGCTAGTTGTCACAATTATCAAACAAGCTAATGTATATATGATCAATCGTCTCAAACTTAAGTTCAATTACAGTATTTGTAAAACAATTTATTACCGATCTAGTTCACAAAAATAATAATTAGTTATAAACTGCCTCCGGATGTGAGTGCGACGTCCCATCACAAAATCAGCAAACTTTGCCTTCCAATCAACTGAATCACTACCGGATTGATTCACAGCAACAATCTTAGCTTCTTCCAAGCATTTCTGTTTCCACAAGTCATTATCTGAAGCCAAACACCGCATTTCCGTACAAAGGCAAGCCATCTTTGCGAGGCTGGAAGCGATTCTAGTATCTTCAGCTTTAGCTCTGTTGGTAGGCTCATCAAACACGGTGGAAGTTCCAAGCCAGCTTTGTCGTAAAGATCAAGCAACAAAGGGATAACAAAATCATCTTTATCTTTTACCATTCTCCAAAACGCAAACACCTCGCGGTAGTTTCTCAAAGAGCCTTCCTTGTCATACTTCAAAGTATCCCTAACCAACGGGTACAAACCTACGCTTATCAATAACAAGCTTAAGCCGACTAGACGACTCATACACAATCCCGTAAACCACAACCGTATAATTTAAGCTCTATCAGAGACAATATCCATCGAATCGTGACGGCGTCTAACTCAAGTTTTAGGGTTTCTCTTGATGTTTCATAGCTTTTGGATAACAATCAAATATTATAACCTGATTGTTTTTGCCTTGCGGGTGAAGTAACTTATTTACATATCACACGCTTAAACCTCGTTTAAACTAATCGTGTTGTTTATAAATTCGAATCGGATAAACCGAATTGAACCGAACCGGTTTTGATATATGGTTAAGAAGAACTTTCCGAACAGCCGCCGAGCAATGTGGAACGGTTTCACGACAAGCCGTAACATGACCTTCACGGTTTTGTAGGAACTGTTGATTCAAAACCTTTAATCGATATCTCTATACGAAGTTTTTGAGGGGTTTTTTGTTTGTTTTGTTTTGGATTCGATATTTGCGTCCATGGACGAAGACAGAGAAAAACGTGTTCGTGCCAAACGGTCCGGTGAATTTGATTGGATAAGCAATTTACCAGATTCATTGCTATGTCAGGTACTCTTGAATCTTCCAACGAAGGTTGTGGTTAAGACTAGTGTGTTATCACGTAGATGGAGAAATCTCTGGAAATGCGTACTTGGATTGGACTTGACGTATGAGGATTTCAGAGAATACAACAGATTCGTGAGTTTTGTCGACAGGTTTCTGGGTTTTAACAGTGATGAATCATGCTTACGAATTTTTAGGTTAAGGTACAGTTGTGATGAGGGGTATGGTGAGTCTGAAATTATCAGGCGGTGGATAAACACTGTGGGCAATCGGAAAGTTGAAAGTCTCCATCTTTTAGATGATTCATGTTTTAAAGATGAAATCGAGTTACCTTTAACTGTTTACACTTGTGAGAGCTTGGTTTGCTTAAAGCTCTATTGCGTAACCTTGGTTAGTCCCAAGTTTGTTTCTTTACCTGCGCTGAAAGTTATCGACCTAAGTATAGTTCATTTTTCCGACGATTTGGTATTAGAAACGCTCATCTCGCGATGCCCTGTTCTCGAAACCTTAACTATTGAGAGGAGTTTAGCTAATTTTATTGAAGTTTTACGCGTGCGTTCTCAGTCTCTGTTGAACTTCACTCATATTGCGGATAGTTCTGAGGAATTGGTTGAAGAACTAGTAATTGCAATTGATGCTCCTAGGCTTGAGTATCTAAGGATCAGTGATGGTCGGACCGCAAGTTTTATACTAAAGAATAATATGGCTTCCCTTGTAGAAGCGGATATTGATACTGTGTTTAACTTAGGTTTCGGAAAAAAGTTTGATCCAAATGATCTACTGAAGAGATATATGATTCGGAATTTTCTCCGCGAGATCTCTAATGTCAAAGATATGACCATCACTTCGAGTACTCTTGAGGTAAAACTTATGTTCTGTTCGCTATTTGAAATG